TAAGGGAGGGGGTGGGGGCAGGGGGGAGAAATAAACCAAGCCTTGTATGCACATATGAATAATAAAAGAAAAATGAAAAAAAAAAAAAAGAAACCTCTTGCAATTGCTTTAAGTGGGGCAGTAAGGGTTGACGGTGGGGGTGATCAAACCAATGTGCAACGTAATGCTATTCGGAACTGTCACAGTGAATCCCCCGACAATGAATATATCCTAATAAAAATGGAAACAAAACATGATTCATACCAATTAAACTTGCAAATGGTCAGAACATTAGTGAATGTTAAGTGAATGGATGAGATCTTAGTAAAGTGTTTTTAGTGTAAAATGCTAATTTAGACAATGGCCCTGACAAAACGAACTGTACCTTTAACAGCCAAAACACAGTTTATTCCCATAGGTACAGGAAGAAATCTAGCACCTTGATTTTTAAAAATCTCATCCTATAAAATTTTTTCCTCTGTGTATGTTTTATAGTGTATATAAGCTGTAAGTACAATACTATAATTCGTAAATAAAAACTTGACATGTATTCTTAATTTTTTTTCTGGTGGGGGGATGCCTGACTGAACAAGTTAGAGTATCACTAACAAGAACAGCCAAGCCGCACTGCCTCTGTCACAGCTTTAGGCTTGACACTGGTCTAAAAACACACAGCCATGTGGTGAAAATTATTTTTTTTTCAAACAACTAAGTTTGGCATCAACCTTTTAAACAGGCTAACACCCCCCACAAAAAATGTGTCAAATGTTTCAAAATAGCATTTATTTTTTAAAAGCACATTTTGAGGTAGACAGAAAGGGTTTATTAAAATCTTAAAATTTTATGTATGTGCATACATAAACTCACCTCAGTTCTATATCCACCTATTCAAAAAAACTCAATTCAATGAAAAAGGTAAAAGCAAGATTTTCTACTCTAAAGCGGACATTTAATCTGTCAAAAAACTTCTGGGTTCATTTCAATTTTAGATCTTATTTTTTACTAAATCATGCACTAAATAGCTAGTTTTCAATGAACATGAATATACCTTCACTTTCAATGTGAAGGTAGTTGAAATACACTGTAACTCCTGTAGTTTCCACAATATCAAAATGGTAACATTTAAGTAAGATCAGCTATATAATTTGTGAGTTCAGGGCAAAATAACAACGTGGGCTCCTTGTTTGAAACTTTTCAAGAAGGCTACAGTACGGCACTAAGTATGAGGCCTTTCTAAGAGTTCACAGGCCCCAAACCTACACAGCCAGCCCTGAATACAGGTAAGTGCATTTCAACTGCCAAGACCTATTATCTTTGTTCTTTGAATCCCTAGTACGTTACACATATAGCAGGGATTGGAACACTTGTTGAATGAAAAACTGTTTTTTTTGAGATGGGGTCTTGCAAGCCAGCCTAGCTGGCCTCAAACTCGATTCTCCTGCCTCAGCCTCCTAAATGCTGCTGGGATTACAGGTATGTGTCACTATGCTTAGCTTTAAAAAAACAAAACAAAAACCTACGTACGTCGTGTGTGTGTGTGTGTGTGTGTGTGTGTGTGTGTGTGTGTGTGTGTGTGGTGTGTTTGATACTGGGGTTTGAATTCAGGGCCTACACCTTGAGCCACTCCACCAGCCCTTTTTTGTGATGCGTTTGTTCAAGATAGGGTCTCGTGAACTATTTGCCAGGGCTGGCTTCAAACCAGGATCCTCCCGATCTCTGCCTCCTGAGTAGCTAGAATTACAGGTGTAAGTCACTGGCGCCCAGCTCAAAGAACCCTGAGTCTTAATTTGCAGTTTTCCAAATCAATGAGAAATGCTTAGTTAAATATGACCAGGGTAAATCTTACCCAGATGAAGACAGTCTGTTCTTTATAATAAGACACGTGATTCCTCGAGTATTGAATCTTTTGCACATCGTGTTCTGGCTTCATTAAGCTTGAGGCTCCATATGGCAAAGTCTCATTTGATTCGTTCAAATGTTTATTGAACAACCACTCTATGCCAGGGCCTATGCCAGGCACTGGGTATACAAGAATAAATAAGACGGTCCCTGCCCTCCAGGAGCTTACAGTCTAGCATAAGAATTTACAGCACCTTAGAACATAATGAAAAAACTTTCTGCATGTCTAGTATATAATCTGGAACTTTCCAAGACTTCAAAAAATATTAATCTAAAATTTATCAGTAAAGCAGAGTCTGAAAATGAAGGATGCAGTGAAATTTGAAAGAAAATTCAAATATGCACTCTTTAATGAAAAAACTATGAAGTCTAAATAAGGAAAGCCAAAGATTCTACCTATTTTAGAGACTTTGGACCCGATTTAAATTTGAAAAATTATTTTATTATCTGTGGATAACATTTTCACTTACAGTGACATTTATATATACATACATACGAGAAGTGTGTGTATGTGGAGATGTGCTCCTTGAGGCTTTAGGTAAACCTGTATCTCCATCATTAATTCATTTACAACTAAAGAGACCAGCATAAAGGTAATTGGAGACTTTCTTTCTATAGTAATTTCCATTATCATTTGAATGGGAGAAATTCCTAAGATATTTAGAATCACCTCTAGGACATACATTTTAGTACATTCTTATTCTACAGTGGGACTAAACTGTGTCTTTGTAATAATGTGATAATTTAAACATACATTTAAATGGGTAATGACAAAGTTCAATGGAAACTAGCATAGTCTTAAGTCTATCTGGATTTTTTTTTTCTGTACTCTTCCTCTTTTTTCTTAAAAGCATAAAAGATCCCTGTGCAGAAATGGACAGAGCTTTTGTTGTTGCATTGCTGTACTTTGGTACATTGCTACTTACGTCTTAATCTGGCAGCACCCTTAGTTTGTGGTAAAGTTACAACTGAAAAATCACTAGCCTTGGCTTTACCTGGAAGCTTTTATTATCCCAAAGTAAGTAGATAAACGACCAAAGGAGCTGTCTCACAGACTATGCACCCAGAGTTTATCCAGCAATTCCTGTAGACATTCTGAAGAGGCTTGATTATCTTATGTCCCAGCTCACAACAGATAAAGACAGCACAACAGAAATAGGAAGGCCTGTTGGAGGCAGGCATGTTGACGGAACACACCATTTAGCAGATATAAAACATTTTTTAAAAGCAAGCAATCTGAGGCAAATAATTATATGTACCTCAGAGTTAAGGGGATCACTTCATAAGCGACATTAACTCATATGTGTTATAGCCCTTTACATTTTATGACATGTTTTACATATATCAGAACTCACTGGGTATTTGTATTAATACATTATGAATATAACTTTTAACTCTTCATCATGAAAAAGTGAATTATGCTGAGCATCCTGTTTAAGAAGGCAGGGAGGTATGTATACTAACATACCTGAAAGACTTGCATCAAAAATAATTATAAGTTTTAAATTTTGGCACTTAAGAGATATACATTAGTTATCCAAACTTCCATATATATGGTTTTCTTCATGACCAACACAGGGTGTTACTGAATGCATTTTCACAGCACTCAGTGACAGCTGGTCATTAAATGGGGATGATTGTCATTAGTAAGTTATCAGACCACTTCCCTGCTAAACCAAGTTTAACAGATAGTATGGATATCAGTACCATATATTCTGATTAATATAGGAAATACTAGGCTTCTAAAAGATTCTCAGAGTGTTTTCCCTATATTGTACTTTTAAGAGAACACCTTAAAGATGATATGTGATCTTGTTTCTAGACAAAGGAGCAGAGAACATGTGATTCATCTTTTCCTTGCTTGTTTTCTTAAAATTTTTGGTATGGCCTCTTCTCAGAATATTACAAGAAGTAACAAAATACACATATGCTTTGGGGTTCTGAGAAAAAAGACCACCAAATTTTTAAAAACACTAAAATAGAAGCCTTTTAGCCACTACATTTCACAACTGAAAAATAAGGAACCATATATTTGATATACCTAATAATTCAGCACAGCATTTCCCTAAATGCTGTTGTACAAATAGCTTTTTACCAGAACAATTTATGCTACCTTTACCAACAATAATACTTCATTACCAATTATAATACACTTACCAATCATCATGAATAAAAAATGACTCAATAAAAGAGTAAAAAAAGATCAGGTTTTAAACTGTAAGAAAAATTGGACCTTGAACTAATAAGATGTAATTTCTTCCAATAATATAATATTCCTGATGCTTTTAACTTCTTGATTAGTATTCTCTGATGACTTTTTGATCATGTCCATACCTGAAGGAGGGCAAAGGTTCTTTTGTTGAGTTTGCTGGCTATTAGTTATTAATTCTCATCTGTGTGGCTCTATTTTCACATAGGCTGTCCATTCTCCATTTTCTTTTCTATTTCATAGGTGCTTATCCTGTTTGAGGTTTTTTAGTTAGGAATGGACTATACGTATGCCCTGAGTTACTGTCTCCATTCTCAGTCTTGTGTTATTTTACTTGATACAGAAGGTAATAAGGCTAATGCTGGAATAGTAATAATAATAAAAAAAACTTCCAGAAGATGCTAAACAAGTAAATTAACAGGCAGTTTACCATCCTATACAAAAATAACAGGCAAAATGGTAGAGTTATAGTAAGCACAGTCTTTGGACTAAAACAAGTAGACAAATCTGGGTTTGAACCTCAGTGCTACTAACCCACTGCCAACTGTGATTTTGGGTAAGTAACTTAATCTTTCTGACCTGTCAAAGTAATTTGGGGCTTGTTTCATCTACCTTGCAAGGTTTTTGTGAGGATCAATAGTAAAATAGGCACATTATTTAACACATAATAGGTATTGAAGGTAGTGGTTCAAGAATCATTGGCTGAATTTAGAATGGGTTGACATTTGGGTCTACCATCAGATATGGAACGCTTCTAAACTGATAGTTTATGGAATCTTCTTTTGAATATCAATTTGATCATTATTATTTTAATGATAACATTTTTGGGTGTGTTCTTACAAAACTGTATTTTCTTTTTAAATGTGTGCATACACTCACACATGTGTGTTTTACAAACTTTATGGCAGGCCTATGTTTTCAGTGTGCTTTGTGAGTAATTTTTTCACTGACTACAGAATTCTTAATTTTTTCAATAGTCGTGGTAAGGTGACCTAATTTTAAAAATCTATTCTAGAGCCAACATTGTTCCAAATTAAGTATAACTTCTTAAATAAGTAAGTGGCTGTTCAATAGATCCTACAAAGAAATGTCATTTTTATCCATGTATTGAGCTGTTTAAACATTTCTGTAAGATTTAAAAACTTTTCTTCTTATAGTGGAAATTTTTAGCATTTACTCCCATGCCTTCCTTTTTTCAATCTATTAGCCATCTTAAGGGTATTCAGAACAATATAACTTAAAGACAAAGCATGTAAGTCACTGACTGTAACACAGTACAGACTGTATCATGGTACAGCAGAAACTGCTGTAAGCAGGGAATTAGCAGACTTTAATTCAAGTTCTGGCTCTACTAATAACTTTGAAAGACCATAGGCAAGTCACTTAAGTTCTCTCATTTGTCAAATAAGTGATTCCATTTCAAGTTATTTTCTATTTCTAAAATTGCTTTCATTTACTTGTTATTATTACTATTTAAATAATCAAAACACCTTGTGGGAATTGTGTTAAGCACCAGATGGATACAGAAGTACTTACTGCTATTTAAGGTTGTAGTTTTCAAACTATTATGTGGACCTTACTTGAGATTTCTGAATCAGAATCTCCTAAGGTGAGTCCTAAATTTCTGCATTTTTCATAAGCTCTTCAATGGTTATAATGCATCTGAATGTTTGAGAACCACTGGCCTAAAAAGCATGTGACCTAAGAGGGTAAGACAAGTGTAGGAGCTTAAATTACTCTAGCCTCTGGTAAATTGCTTCTCACCACACACCATTTGATGTGGAAGAGACTGGAAGAAAGCTGTCTATTCAACAGAACCTTGGGCTTGACCCTGTCTGATGCTTTCACTTGATGTGTTCCACACAAAACACAAGAAAGGTATGGTATTCTGGTCAGTACTTAGTGTTGCATCCAAGTCACTGACTACGAGGGTTATACAACGTCTTGAAGAGGACTGTAGCTCTGTGCTTACTGATGGTGAGACAGTTGAGCTTGTGGCTCCTAGCTAGAGGAAGAAAGACAGTAAAATGTCAACTCTTTACTCTATATTCCCCCTCTACCTTAATACTGTTAACACATCATTCTGTGTGGTTCAAAAAGAAAAAGAAAACCTAAGTCACGCTGTTCTCTTTACCCTGTGACCAGATATTGTACTAATCTAATAAATAAATTCTCTCTGTACAACAGAAATGACTAAAGCCCATTTCTTCTCCTTTCCTTTCCAATGCTGTTATAAAAACAAATATATGCTGGAGATTTAAAATTCATACAAGTAAAATAAATTACAAAGAGACGTGGTAACATTTTTCCTAGAATTTCACAACAAAAACTATCACATGAAAAATTCTTTATATTTTAACAGGAAACTTAAAAGACATTTTGTTGCAAGACTATCTAATAGTTATGAGAATAATGCCATTATCTGTGCTCAATATAGAGAAATACAACAGCAACTTTAAAAGGGCAAGTATCTGAAATTTCTTTTTCAACAATCAGCATGCCAGCATCCAGATTCTGGGTTTTATTCAATACTAGTGTCATAGGTTTCTCTCATTCCAACCAAAACTCCTGCCAAATGTTCACAAATTCATATAAACACCAAAAAAGAGAAAAGAAATTAGGAAGCAAGGAAAGGAAAGGAAAGGAGGGAGGGAGATATGGAAGGAGAAAGGGAGAGAGCTTAGTAAGAGAGCTACCATGCAAAATAACCAGAGCTGGAGTTCAATGGCACAGATCAGAGCAGAAGAGTGCTGAAAAAGATGCTGCTGCATAGAGTGTAACTTGGAGATGCCTGTATGATGCTGGATGACCAAGTACTCAGGTCACGGGTGTGTTCATGGACCCATAAGAACCAGGGTCTTGACCCAAACTTAGAAGATCTTCTAAAAGAAAATACTTCACCTAAATGGAAGTAATTTATAAGTCACACACCAGAAGAGTCCCTATTTGATGTAAGTTGTGCCTAAAACTTTGGCTGATACAAAGAGACCCGTCCACTAAGGCACCCTGAGGCGATCTGACAGTGTGTTGGGGAGAACTTTGTTGTCAGTACCACATCGTTATGAGAGTACAGAGAGCGGATCACCCGTAAAGGACTGGCTTCTTTGGGTAAACAGTCAACAAGTTCATTGCACTGTTTGTCAAATCCCAACAAGCGAATCCCATAGCCATGTGGGGAAGAAACCATTCGCCCATCAGGGCTGAAGCAAAGTTCTTTGATGTATCCCCTGCCTACATTGGCTTCTTCAATGTAATGAGTCAGTCTTAGGGAACAGCGAGGTGAGACAGGCCGCACAGGAGCTCCTTCTTGGAATTCATAAACACAAGTCCACTAGGGGAAAAGAAGGGAAACAAAACAAAGTTATAGAATTCCAATAGTGCTACGGATATTCCTTATTTTTAAAAGGCTCAACAGATCACCCAAACCATGACTGTTGCAAGAAATCAATCAAATGAATGCTATCCGCCTTCCAACTACCAACACTTTTGTACCTTATATCTTCATAAGCCTAAGTTACTCTGGATTCTGATGCTTTAAAGCCTTTTGTTCCCTGAGGTTGCCTATTAACTTCTGAAATAACACATTTGCTTTTCTGAGATGAATAACAATCTTGTTATTTTAAAAATACCTTCTCCCCTACACACTTCAAAGGCTCTTCTCCCCTTCCATTCAGTTATGGTCAGGGCCAGTCAGATTCTTAGAAGACTACTGCTTTCCAGAGTAATAAGACCAGAGATTTCCTGGGTTTTTAAACAGAGAAATTTATGTTAATTGGCTTAACAAAACCTTACATCGATCTAGCTTAGCTGAAACATCTCAGTGTTGTGTTCACTATGTAAGAGTTGGGTTTTGTTGTTGTTTGTTTTTTACAATGAGATGAAGGAAAGAAGAATTAAGAAGCTAGGCACAATCTTGAGTTGATCATGGCCTTTAGAGTTCTTCCCAGCTCACTATACTTGGGCAGGAGAAGAAGAGTTTATAAGGGATAAAGACACTATGAAGCAACAGAGGACAGGAACAGGAGAGTTGAGAAGCAGGGTCTCTGACAGTATGCCCTTGAGGATAGGGACTGTGTCCAGTATTAGGCCTAAGGTCTGCACACATGGCAATGACAATCTGTTCAATGAACCCTGTTGAAAGTGAAGTGCTGCTGCCTGTACCTCCTGGTCATCAGTGTTGCTTGAGCACCGAAGAAGAGTGGCCCAGCCTTTGGGATGCAACTGTAAGGAAGTTATGCAGTTTCCACGGTCTCTCTCACCAGGAACTTCAGGAGTTAAAACTTCAAGACTGTTTCGTGGCGAAACTCCTGAGATACAAGAAAATGAGGATTTGGATGTATATTATCCAAGGACTAAGGCAGTTCATCAAAGCTATGATTTTTGGCAGCCACCTCCCGTAGCTTGATCCCTTAGTCTGTCCCTTATACTACCATATGTAAAAGAACTTGTTATCCCCCAATGAATGCCATGTGAGTTTTGGGGGAGGCATAATGGGGAAATAGTATTACTATAAGTAAAGAATCCAAGTTCCTGTAGCAGGAATCACCAGTGAGTTAAGTGGGATCTTTGCATTTGTTTCTCAGAAAGCTTTTTAACTTAAGAACCAAAGTTATGTGACATGGAAAGAGTCTAAAAAAATTAAAAGATAATAATTTTAAACTTAGAGGACCTAGTACTTCCCTGACCAAAGAAGGAAGTATTTGGAAGTCAGGAGGATTGCCTTTAAGTGAATAAAAGGGTCAGGATTTATGGTCCCCAAGTACAATATGCTCCTTTACTTATAATGGAGTGAATAAACTCATCATATGTTGAAAATACATTTCATATACCCAACCTACTGAGTAGCATAGCTTAGCAATGCAGTACATTGTATGGAATTGGCTGTTTATTCCCATGACTGTGTGACTGACAGGAGCTGTGGATCCCTGCCTCTCCCCAGCATCATGACAGTATCATACTGCATATGGCTAGTCTGGGAAAACTTTAAAATTCACATCTGAAGTATGGCTTTTATTGAATGTATTATCATGTTTATATTGCTGTAAAACTGAAAAACCATAAATTAAACCATTTTAAATTGGGGATTATCTATATTATGAAAAATAAATAGCTATAATTTTTGAAGGTGAAAGGATACCTAACATAGAGGCATTTCAAAACAAGGGATGGGGAGACATTGCCAATCATACATTTTCCTTGTGACTCTACTATTCTCTGTCATTTCCTTCTACCTAGCCCCCAATTAAAAATGACTGTGGTAATAAGCCACTATTACTAACTGGAATATGTCAATGGAGAACCACTTTCACTGACATCAGAAGAAAGCAACTTAGAAACTTAAGAACAAGAGAAATATTTCAACACTGCTCTACCTGTGGGAGGAGTTACTTTGAAGGTAATGAGGTCCCTTTGTCAGACCCTTTGTGAATTGCTTCTCAAGCAAATGTGCTATCTTCTTTTAAAGCTCTCCTTAGATTACTACATCATTGCAGAAACCTGTGAAACTCTAACTTACACTGCTATTAACCAAACAATACCTAAGTAATACTTTCATGTGGGATTGAATTTTAACAATTTTAGAGAAACACAAACCCTTATTTTAAGACTTAATTTTGGAAACCTATAACTAAAGCAGAAAAGAAATCCATTCTAAATCGGTAAGCAATGGATTTGCTAGCTGTGTACCTTGGAGGTTTCTTAGGATCTAGCAAAAAGTGGAACCATTCAGGAGCTGAGGAGAAGTAGGGAAGACTGCAGGACCTCACTAATTTCACTTGAACCAAAGCTACATCCCTGGGAATCCACAGATTTCATATCAAAATAAGAGTTTTAGTGGTGTAGGCCTGTAATCCTGGCACTAGGGAAGCTGAGGCAGGAAGATCAAAAGTTCAAGGTCAGCATGGGCTACAAAATGGATCCTGTCACAAAAAAACAAAAAGTAAGTTAGGTGTTGTGGCTCACACCTGTAATCCTAGCTACCTGGGATGAGGACATCAGGAGAGTCACAGTTCAAGGCCAGCCCAGGCAACAAAATTGTGAGACCCCATTTCAACTGGATTGGTGGTGCACATCTCTCATGCCAGCTATGAGGGAAACATATACAGAGGGCTCATGGTCCAGACTTGTCTTGGCATAAACACATCTCAAAACTAAACAAAGCATAAAGGGCTGGGGATATGGCTCAAGTGATAGAGTACTTGTGCAACAAGCAGTTGGCCCTGAATTCAAACCCTAGTACCATTACACACACAAACCACACACACACACACACACACACACACACACACACACAGCTGGCCATTAATAACCTACAAAAAGGAAGATAAACAATAAAATGCTATAAAATCTTAGGTGTGGATTAGTATGCATAGGGACAGTTGTGGAATTTGTATTGGTAGAAAGCATTCCAACTAGGAGGTAGAAGGGATAGGCATAACAGCTAGGTCTGTCAGAATGGCTGGGGGAAAAAATGGCAAGATTCAGAATGGAGCCAGGTTATAGATCATTTTATCCCACAACCCCTGAGATAGTCAGGCATATATAGAAAAGGAAATGGCAGAGCAAATGGCCTCCAGAGTAAAAGACCACGTGACTTTCACAAACACCTGATTAAGTCCATTGCTTATATTTACACAGTACTTTTGCATGCATATGCTCATTTAATTTTCACACCTTCATTGACTGGGATCTACATTTCTCAACTACATTTTCTAGTTAATTCTTTTATTAGCAAACAAGGTAATAAAACCAAAGTTCAAATTCCATCAAAGATTTATGAACCAGATGGTTAGCATTTTTTTTTTTTTGGTGGCACTGAGGTTTGAACTCAGGGCTTCGCACTTATAAAGTAGGTGCTCTACCACTTGAACTACATCTCCAAGTCCATTTTGCTCTGGTTATTTTGGAGATGGGGTCTCTCGAACTATTTGCCTGGGCTGGCCTTAAAACCCAATCCTCCCAATCTCAGCCTACCAAGTAGCTAGGATTAGAAACATGAGCCCTGTTGTCCAGCAATGGTTAGCTTTTTGAGAGCTTGTTTGGAGGTTCTAGCAGGGGAGTGCAGCTACCCTTGACCTAAGAATGGTTCTCTTCTATTGGGGATGTCCTTTCTAACCGAGCACACAGCTTTAGGAGAGATACCTATAGAGTTGTGAGGAGGAAGGGGACACCCACCTAGCCAACCAGATCAGCTGAATCAACCCTGGTGGTCAATGGGATAACAGATGTCACAGCCAGATCACCCTCACATCCAGTGGTTAGTTTTTTGAACATGAAGACTGAGGGGTAAGATATAGCCTCATTTCTATTGACTTTTATTTTTATGGACTGAAACTGAACTAGTGAAAGCTATTTGATGGAATCTATTGTTACAAGATTATAAAATCCAACTTTTAACTTACCTTCTCTTTGAGAGGCTCGTGACATGTGTTTTTCAGATGAATTAGAATCACTGTGATGACAAGGTGAACCAGAAACTCTAGGACCAGATGAACTTGACAAAGTGGTCAAATCTTGGAAAAAAAAAAAAGTTTGACAATAAGCGTGGCATAACTATGAGGTATCTTTTAACTTTTTAATTATCTAATTGAACCATACTTTTAAAATGCTTTGAAACATGGCCCCAAAAAAGCTCACATAAACTGGGCTCTAACAAGAAGATGAAGCAGAACAGGACAGATCTTTGTTCTGTTTAAGCCCTAGTCCCTTTCTAAAATCTTTTATGCCAAAAACCTGCTCATATGCAATGAAAATGAAAAACCAAATAACATGTATATCTTTGTTTCCTTATCATTTCTGTACCAAAATGGAACAAGAAAATTCAATTAAAATGAAAACTGAGCTGTTTAGCCAGGTGCTTAAGGTTAGGACAGGGTCTAAAAAACAGGCCATTAGTTGGAACATGAATAAAATGAACACTTCTTTAAACCACACAAAAAAATTCTACTATCATTCTTAAAATTATATATACTATCTCTGAAATGCGATACAAAGCTTTACATTAAAATTCTTTTTTTTTTCTTTCTTTTCTTTTTTTGTGGTACTATGGTTTGAACTGAGGGCCTCATACTTGCTAGGAGATGATCTACTAGTTGAGCCCCTCCTCCAGTCCAACTCTACATTAAAATCTGTGGGAAAAAATAAAATCAAGAGCGATTCCAAGATGTGGTGAAGGTAGAAGCAGAAAGCACCCCTTATAGTGAAAATCTTGGAGAGACGCTGAGACACACTTGCAGCATAATCACTGAGGAAAAGGCATAACTTTGACCCCTCCACAATCTCCAGCCAGTGCAGAGAATCTCCACTTACGTTAACGGAGAGAACGAGGAGGGCCCCTGGGGCCTGCCAGTGGCCAGCGCCCATACAGTGTGGGAAG